ATGGATGAGCTGATTAGGATTTTTTAGCGGAGGATCAGCTCGCGGTTGGCAATAATTTTGATACCTATGCGCACCAGAAGAAATTCGGGGCTTCGGAAGTTCCAAAGAACACCGCTCGAAAGTTCATTCGGAAATTATTTTATATGTTGGGGGGGCTTTCCTATGTTTTCGGAAAATGTGATTTTCTGTACGGAGGAAGGCAGCGCGCGAGTCGGAGCGTGAGTACTATCGCCATCAGAGTGATGATAGCTTTCGTTCTGTTAACAATGTGTCGAACGCACACCACACCCACTCTTTATGCGCTCACGAATACGAGTCTCGTGATTATATCGAAGAGATGATGGGGAGCCAAAGATAGGAAAACAACGAGTCAGACACAAGATCATTCACGACACAATCATCGCAGGATATGCTCCGGATTCGACATGAGACGGAGCACAATATCCCTTTCCCCAATAAGGAAAGTCGCGCTCATTCGTTCCCCGCAGGACAAGGTGCGCCAAGAGCTGGATTCTTCCCTGTTCGCTTCGACTGTTTCATTTGTGAAAGCTCTCGGTAATCGAATTCCCACCTCTAGGGGCATAATTTTTCGCGGCCCTCAGGATCGGTGAGGGAGCATTCGATATCTAACTTCTCTCTGATGTCTGAAGTCTACGTGCTTCACCGAATCGATGATCGTGGACATCGCGAGCTTCAGGGGTCCCTGTGAAGCACGCTTCCGAAGCTCCGAGGCATGAATATTTGGACGTGACTTGATTTCCGCGCCTCAATTCCGAGGCTTCCGCGGCTGCGGCACGCTTCGGACGTTATCGGATGCCGAAAGATTCCGGTCAGAGGTCTGGCTTGGAGCATCGGTTATTTCGAATAGCTGCGATGGAACGTTCGCTCAGAAAATCATCGGCATGATCCGAAAGTGTGGAGTCCAGTTGCGCGAGGGAGGTTGTCCGGGAAAGTGAGCCTTTTCGACGAATCGCGGGGTTCTTGGGGTAATCTCATTTGCTATCTCGCGAAGGCTTAGTACATTTTTCCCGGGCGCTGGAATATCATGGAACATGGGCCGTATACGACTTCATGAGTCCTGATTGGAAATTTCCGCCAAGTCGCGAAATTCCGCGGAAACTTCGAGAATTCATCTTCATGTCATTAAATATTCTGTCAAGTAAGATAATTGATGCTATCGCGGGAGATCGTATATGAAATGTGGCAGTCATAACGGACCAGTTGATAACAATTACAGACAGGGCCCGATCGGCAACTGTTACACGGATCAATCGGATGTAAGATGGCTGAATGATTTCTTCTTTTCCTCGCCGCCTTCTTCGAATGCCATCAAGCCAATGAAAAATCGATCAATGAGTAGAATCAAATTGTGAGGCCGATTTTCAGCCAGTACAGAGAGGGAAAGGGATGCCACAGTCTCGGACGAAACCTTCTGAATTTGGGCTGAGACCTTTTCCGCTCCCGTTCGAATGACATAATCGCTTTAATAATGATGAACATCGTTATTGAGATCGACGTCATTCGCTGGGGCGACGCGACTCCGCTATAATCAGTACGTGAGAGTCAGCCACTGCAGTGATCGAAAGTCGCAGCTGAAGTAACTGTTTGTGGTGGCCGATCTGAATTCTTGCTTGTCGGATGTGCGCCTAAATATCGCGCGGCATGTAATCAGATCGTAGGGTTATAAATAGTGGCAGTCAACCAACCGACCGAGCGAACGAGCAAGCAAGTAAGCAATAGCGGCTGCTGGCGCTTGTCTGTGTCATAGTAGACGTAGAAATAGCAGTGTAGTGTATTATATATTTACCGCCACATTACGTGTCAGAGACGATCAGGAAGCCGCTGTGGCGGTGACTAGATCGTTTCCGATCGATCGTCCCCGGCTCAAATGATCGGAATTCTTCCTACTTCTCACGCGTTTTATTGTTCAGCGGAACTCCCCACGCCTTCCGTCGGCACCCCATCATCCGATTTGTCCAATAAAATAGAAACCCTATAAGATCACGAAATATCAGCCAAGGAACTATAATTCAGCTCGAAATCCGAGGCGAGTACAATCAGAGCGCGAGGTTGGCTCATCCGTAACCGGATTCGAATCCAGGAATTCAGCAACAAAGGCGGCGTGCACAGCTCTCTCGAGAGACCCGCGAATCGGATGAGGGACTTTATTTACCGATTTATCGCCGAGTCGGCTTGGATCGGGAGCCCAAACCTAGCCGCGGATTCTTTTCTTCTTTCACTTCTCCCACGCCCGGCTAAGGGTTCGTCGATCAGCTTGATGCAGACGCTCTCGCTGGCGTGCACCTATCTAATCCCGGCTCAGATGGGCCGGAGAACCGGAAGAAGAAGCAGAGTTGAAGGAAAAATTCTGTCGGTACTCGCTCCGTTGGCAGTATCCATTTTCTCTGTCGTCTCTCGACCGAATTATTGCGAGACACGTTGTCAAGTTTTGGTTTCTTGACACAGAATCACGCCGCGGTCATATTGCTGCGTCACCCACTAACTCCGATTGGATTGAATGACGAGATCGAAGAAGTCGGTATCAAGACCGAATCCAATCGATTCCGCATACTGTGGCAAACCATTCCGATTTCGCAATGTTTCGGAAATCTCGAATCACGCAGTGAACACGGTCATTCTCCCCTAAATGAAGGTACTCATACTTCGAGCAGAATTCTATGGGTTCCATCGTCTTCGTATCAATATGATTGACCATCCCTGAGGCGAGCCGGTGGAGAGCCGTTCCCCTGATTGCTGTGAGAATCAGACTCAATGGCTAAGTTAAGATAATCTGAAGCGAGGCACAATTAAAACTGATCTGCATCCTTTCCGAGTACTCTGACGAAATAGAACAGTGTGAAAACTCTGCGCGGCGTGTATAAGTAGAGTTTCGATTCGTTCCAACGGACAGGCTGCAGCAATCAGGGTAGAATTGAAAACTTCTTTAAAGTGAGAGTAATCTCAAGGGTTGGGCCACTGGTGTAATGAATTAATGAATAATAATTGAGCAACGGAGCAGCCAATCAACGAGCGGGAACAGCAGACGAGGAGGCAACCGGTCTGCCAGCCGGCGGACTGAAAGACTGACTGCATCTCTGGCCGTCCCACCGTCCGACGAAGCGATCTGACTGATTTGTATAACTAAGTTGATGGTGACGGCTGCGTTCCCTGCTATCATACCTTTAATAAATGCACGCTTCTGCCCATCTTTATAGACAACCATCTGATATACGTGTCCACGCGAAATATTCGCAGAAACACTGCACTTCCGGGAACCTACGACGCGTCAGCCGAGAGGGAATGATAAAGCAGTTCCGGTCTTGAGTTGTCGTAGCGACCGCGATAGATCATCCGCGCGTCTGTGGGATTCGATGGAACCACTGTACCGGACTCGCGTGGCCTGTTCTCTGAAGTTCAGAAGGTCCTGAATTGGCCACCTTCCCTTGCTGCATGGGCTCAGGGATCTTGACATTTGAAGTCTCATCGCTACTCTAAATATTTCGGCATTGGTGCCAAGCTAGGCACGAGACCGTCAGAAGGTCTGTACACGGTGCGTGCGTTGTCCGGCGTTTGGTTAAGAGGAAGGGGCCTCTGCTCCCAATCAATTGTTATTTTTTAATACAAACAACCCGTCGTAAAAACATCAGAGCGAACTTTCAACAACGACGCTTTTGATCAGCTGATCACGCCGCGGAGAAGGAATGTTCGCTCGCTCCTAGAAAAATAGTGCCTGCAGGCCTACCCAACAGGCTCCAGAGAGCGAATTACGGATCACAGGAAATGGGTGTCCCGTTTGCGAGATCTCGTGGTCTGGAAACAGCTCTCCACTCAAGGTTCTCCGAAGTCCGATCGAATCCGTGGCATATCCAGTCGACAAATAATCATTATTCTCCCTGACCTTTCTCGACGCTAGAGATTCGATGATCGAGCGTGGATTACAACCGGATGAATTCGAATGTGGGATGAGATCTTGAATGAGTTTCCTCATGCTTATAGTAAAAAAAATGGGAGGAAAGCAAACACGCACAGACAGAAAAATCTTCGGATTGAAACTCTGCCAGGATCTGCGAGACTGATGCGCATTAAGTGCCGAGTGAATTTAGATCAGCAAAAAATCAGCGAACAAGCAAAAACGAAGAGAAGCAAAGAAGAAAAAAACAGGAGAATAGCAAAGCGAGACAGTTGACGCAAAAGTTCACACGCGAAGTAGTAGATGAAGGAAAGAAGCCAGGCGAGCAAGAGCAGACGAGCAAGAGTCAGTCTCCTTCTTGTTCACGTTCTTGAAGGTTGCTCGTTTGCGGAGAAAAATGAAATGCCGCGGAAAGGAGAAATGTATACATGAAAACGTTCGTCTCCGTTGAGTCATTGGCTTGGCTCGGTACGCTTCATGAAATATTCCGTACACTGAGATTGGAAGTCCGCTTCATTCCTGGCGGGAATTAGCCAGCACTCTCGGGGCCGTATTCTGAGCAGCACTCGAGACCGAATGAAACTGTTCGAGGGTATGAGAAGGCGGATCATTAGCAGAATTCCCGAGAGACAATGGACCGAATTCGCTGCGCTAATATCTCATCGCGTGATTGTCCAATCATAGATTCTTTCCTTGTCCGGAGAACTATTAGCCTTATCTCATGCAGCGCCATTCATTGACATGAGGCGGGAGCCGTCGATGACGCATCGGATATAAAATGATAACTCTGTATGGATAATGGTATATGATAGCATGTCGCGTCGTCAGCTACACGGCTGCTGTGGAGCGCTGCGAATAATTGGTGCGAGATAGGAATGGGGTGAGATATGAGCGGGGAGAAATCCGGAGGGATGGGATGGAAAGAATGTCCCATAAGGGCTGGAGGTTCCACTTATTAAGAATTATCGATAAAATCGACCTAATTCTATGGCAGTCTCCACCAGAGCAGCCACAGCGTCGAGTCAAGTCCGACAGCATTCCTCATGCTTTCTGATCGGTTCTCCTGATCTCACTCTCACCTCTGTTCCAGGCCGATCCTTATTCACTTCGATTCCATCTCGAAGACAACGAGGAGACGCGATCCATATGGGATCACTCGTTCCACATCACTTACGACCTGCAGATGTTGGCCTCGAAGGAATTGCGCACCTCGCTGCAGGTTGTGAATACCGACGACTCGGCATTCGATTTCCACTTCTTGTTCCATCCGTACTTCAAGGTTTGTCGGCCTCGCGGGTGGATCGCTGCTCATCATCACTGTTCCGCCGTTGGTCCCGTTTCCAGATGATAATTACCAACGAGGAAGAGTCCACATTGTGAGAGGATACTAGACTTATTGAATCGGTCCCACCGTTTTATCCCGGAATGGATATCGAGTTCATTCTTTTCGGAAAGAATCGTGTCAATCCGGTTTTTCCGCTAATGTCCTTACTTTGCATGTCTTTTCTCGAAAGCCGTCCCTCTTTTTTTCCGCAACCAGCGAGAAATCGCGTTTCGTTCCGTCTTCGAAGCCGATCTAATGAACAAATAGCGGCATACATCATCGTGGTTCGATTTATTCTCCCTCCGCAAAATGGGTTCTTTTCTCCCTCATCGGGAGTCACATTTTGATGATATTCGTGGAATCCGTTCGCGTAGTGAAGGAACCGAAGCTCATTCTCATCATAGGAGAATCCAGCTCGATATTCGTAGCTCTTCTCCAGCTTCGCTTCGCTGTGGACGTGGCTCTCACATCCTTCCTCCCTTGCGAACTTGCGAATCATCATGGGCTTCCTTTACGGCTCGAGCCGGTAGGCACTTTGATGGAAAGATAAAATTTCTGCGGAGCGTTCCTCGCAGATAATTACTAGAGGTTCGACCCTTGAATATCAACAATTTTTCAAGATAATGGGAGCGGCGTGTCTTATCACATCCTCTTCCTCGACTCCCTCCTCACACGAAGAGATCTTGTCGCCTGTATCCGAGTAGCCTCGTGTGCTGAAAGAGAATTTCCCTGTCTCGGGCTTATCATGTCAGGCTGTTCAGGTACTCCGCTTGTCCATCAACTCAGTCAGATAGATTATCCGATACTGCAAATGTTGAATCTTTTTCTCGTCTGAGTAAGACACCGGGCTGCAACGATACAGCGTAAACAATTCGGCGACGTTTTCGATAAACTCCTCGTGACTCAAATCATATTATATTCTAACAAACGCGTTGAAGAATACGTCCAACACGAGAACATTGATTCGCAATAGGAGACTATATTCCATGACTTCATCTTCCCAGGTTGACACCGAGAAGTTGACCATTAGCGGCTTCGAAGGCATGGACTACATCGACAAGGTGGGGTTACTTTCATGCATGTCGCTCGATAGAGGAATGAAACACAGAGCTCTATACTCTGAACATCAACTCTGCCATTGAGTGTCACGTCATCCCCTCCATTGATCCGATGCTATTGCTGCTTGCGGCATCTTGCTTGAGACAACAACGTTCTTCTTAGAATTCAATGAAGACAATCTCGCATCAAGTGAATGGTTTCTGCTCCGCTTGCGCCGAACCGTGCGCCGTGGAATATGTTTCACGATATTCTTTGGAATGTGTTTTTGCCTGCAGTGTTTGAGTCAGCGGCGTCAGCGGGGCGTTTCGCTCATCGCTGAAAGGAGATAGCCGATCAGTCATTCTTTGTGTCAGCCACTAGAAAAGTGAAATGTGTCAGTCCGAGGTCTTGCGGACGAGAAATCAGCATCCCAATAAGAGGAGACTCGGGGAACACCGGGAATGCATATCTCTAGCACAGAAATATGGGTTTCTGATTATCGAGCGGAATTCGATTCGGACACGAACAGACTTCATGAGGAGCGCTATAAGAACCGTAATGATAATCATGGTGATGATGAGGTAGAATATGACGACGACATTGATGTGTGCGATATTAATGATAAGGAATCCTAGAATCACTAGCTTCAGGCTGAAATGACGTGCGACAACGGTAGAAGTCGTCGGAGCTTACATTTTTGTTCCTACGATGAAATAATTACCGCAGCAAGCAACGAAATTCGACAGGTCATTAGGCCTCTGTGTGTATCCCGTGACATCGATCGAAGTGTCGGTCGGTGCTGTATTCTCCTCGTAAGGATTACCGCCGTTACGCGCATGGCCGAACCTAGACATTGACCTAATGGCAGTAATTTTTTCTTTCAGACCGACAATTTCGCCACGAAGACTGAAACCCGAAAACTCGTGTCCATCGACAAATTCACTGATTAGTGAGTACCGCCCCTTGAAGATCCCCCGACGTCTATGAGAGGCGGACGAGAACCGGCCCCAGCGAAGAGGAATCGCTTCCTCTCCCGATCTAGTCGAAAATCCGTCCTAGATCAAGAGGAGAATCCCAAAAATTGAAGAAAGTCCGCCGACGGGCTGCTCAGACCCAGAAGTTCTCAGTGTCCTTGGAGCTTTGTCTCACTCAGAAGATGCTTAATTGAACCACGTCCTGATATCGGGATGTCCCTGAAATTTCAGCGTCAAATTTGTCTCCGTGAAACGCTTTCGAAGCATTCCGAGCGAATCGGAGATATCGCAGAGAATATATAGAGATTCTGATCGGGAAAAAAGATGAGACCTCAGGAGAGCCTCGAGATGAGTTCCGCATCGTATGAGCGTTAGGAATCAAGGGTCGTCCGCTCTCCGAGGGGAATGATAGAGGAAACTTCGGCTGAAAATTGTTATTATGGAAGCAGAATAAGTGCGCTCGTTTAAGATATTTGCCGACCCTGAGTTTGACCCCAGATGACGCGCGGCCATTGACTTCTCGAAGTCGCGTCGAATGATGGCGTCGATTCAGAAGATGAGCAGTTGGTGCTATGGAGATTCTCCTCCAGCGCAGAATTACCGCAAGACAATTTGGCACACATTTCCATGAATCAATTCGCGCCAAGCGCATTCTTCCCGTCTTCCGACGTGCAAAGAAAATTGCGAATCTCAGAAAGAGCCAAAGCCCCGCGAATTTCAGAAAGAGCCAAAGCCCCAAAAAGTCAGAGAAGCTTCTGAAGTCAATTTTTTGCATATCCCGGAGTCACAGGAGATTATCAAGATAGTCGGTGTAGTAAGGCGAAAGACGGGTTTTTGGGTTTGAGTCCCGCGTCAGACTTTGTAATTGCGCGGTCAGTTCCCGTGGTCACTCGCTCCTTCCGAGTGTGGTGGCGAGCAATCGACTGCATGATCTTTATTCCCTCCACGTGAAGCTATCAGAAAGGCGAACAAAGTGTGCAACTGGGGAAAGTCAAACTTCGGAGCCTCTTCCACGCCGCAGTGGATAAATGGACCGATGGAAATAAGTTTAATCGGAGCAGCAAGCGATGTCGCCTCGGCGATATCGTGTGAGATAGCTGCGCTACAGAATATGATTACGACCCTGAACCCGTTCGCCAGGAGTCACAACAATTGGCTTTGAGCTTGAAAAAATAGTACGACGCCGACGTCGTACTATGACTACGACATTCGGCGATCTGTATCCAAATCAGTACGCTCCGCGGCTGAGTGCCCTCATCAGACCACAGATTGGAGCAGACCCTGCGAAGTAAATCGGAAAACCCATGTCAGACGGGGGCGGGATACCTGGGGTGATCACTTGCAAATTCCAGGGGAACGACAAAGCACCCCCATTAATCGGCCCTTTCCCTGTGTGGAATTTAGTTGGAGCGAAACGAGAGTCGATGAATTGGCTTCCTTTCCCTTCTAGCGTCTACTCGAGTACCCCTTCAGATCACGTTCTGGATGACGGAAAGAAAAACATTCGAATTTGGAAAAGTGACACGCTTCCCAACACGGGTAATATATGGAGTTCGAAAAAGTTACCTTTTTATGTTTTGTTCATTGTTCTATTCTTCGCCAACCGGAAAGTCTCTGTGTGAGCCCGGGAAACGTGGAATGGTGATCTTAGAAAAAGTATCCATTCCAGCAACGTCACTTCGAATGATCTTTTAGACTTATTCACAGAGAGCGAACGCCTTAATTCCAGTTGTTTGGAATCCGAAGAACATTTGGGATAGATTCGGCTTGGCTCAAGACGAAGACAAAGAATATGTCTGTGTCGAGCCTGGAAAAGTCACAGACAAAGTGAATTTAGTTCCCGGAGCAGGCTGGCGGTGCTCCATGGTTCTCAGCGCCGCCAGAGCATGAGGCTGTAAGTGTCTTTCTCGTTGCTCGATCTTTTCTCATTGGTACATCGCAGCGTGTCAGATGAAGAACGGTTGAACGTCTGAATATCCTTATTCCCCTCTCAAGATTCAGGAGTCCCGGCGGAACCGTGGATATCCGCTAGAGTAGTGTCACACGCTTTGTTCATCCCGAAAGCGTCTCGATCTCTCGAATCCCTGCTCCTGCTTCATCCTCCGATTCAAGAAGTTCCTATTTTCACATCCGTAGCACCAAAGTACCGCTGTCCCCTTCTGAGTTCAGGTACCGGATGCCAGCATCCGGGACGATTGAGGCTCCCGGTCAACGCTGCCATGCTGGAATTCCAACGTGCCGATGAGATTATGATCAAAGTCTTCCTATATTTTCCTTTGGAGGAACCTTTCCCTTCTGCATAATACCCTTGATGAATCAGTTCGAGACGTATTCATGGCTCGACTATGAGTCAATGCTTCGGTTTGCTCAATAAAATCCTGGCGCATAGAGCTCAATTTTGATCTCTCATTCTTCATCTCAATTCGAAAACTGCTTTCCCAGCTTAGTAAATTATCCGGACATTATCATCCCTGAGCCTGCAGGACCCTCTCAGCGACGGACACTGATGAGATCCTGGAATCCCGGAAAATCCCATCGGCTACGATAGCGGGCTAGGACTGGAGTTAGATATGTAGTTCGGAACAGCATCAACCCCCGAGCATTTGGGGAATTCGAACGATCGCAGCGCCGAACCGATGACCTCAACTCGATCGGAACGCACGGAGCGGCCTTCCGTCTGGATTTATTGTCGAACATCAGGAAGTTTCTCCGGAATGCCCCCGACTTCTCAGAGCACGCAATCATTGACGTATGGAATGCGAAGCTTTCGGATCTTTCGGAGCCTTCCGCCGCAACTACGGCTGCTCAATCAAGAGATTCGATCAGGGCTCGTAGGGGACGTCGATCGAAGGGACACAGGAGCTTTCCTCGTCCCAAAGTCGAATATCAAATGTCGAGGAGAGCTCATGGTTCTTGTCGAAACCTCAACGGATGGCTCGGTGCGGGGAGTCGCGCGTCTGATTATGAGACATCATAGCGACCCGAACACGTTGCAATACTCCAAACCATTTGGAGCGGATGCCGGAGAGGTCGAATGAGCGATTGGTGGAGTATACAACAGGGGATGCTCTCGAGTTGAGCCCAAGCACCAACGGAAGGTAAGGGTGGAGAAAGGAATCACGAAACGGCGGATTCCTTGCACCTTGCACTCAAATGCGAGACGCGGGTTTAGAGAAGGGAAGGTCGGCTCAACCCAGCACTCAGCACTCGGAGCCTTCGTTGGAGAAAAATACCTCAGAGACGGTATGGGAACCTTGGTTTTCGCGGGGTCTGTTTTTCGTACCCCAGTAGCGCAAGCTGAGAGTCGGGCTGCTCGACCCCGCCCATGCTGTTCCGCCGTTCTCTCCCATCGCTTATCCGAACATATCTTTCAGTCTTGCTCTGTACCGCTGCTCCGTTACGCGTTCGCAAGAGCATATTACTCGCGAGCACCCTCACGCGCAACCGCTGGCCAGGATTCATTGTATCATACATCAGGAGGCGCTCTGTGGTGAAGTGATACCGATGCGTCATGTTGTCGAAACAGTGACGAAAATCACAAACTTCATCAGAGCTCGCGGCTTGAATCACCGCGAGTTCCGAACATTCCTCGAGCAGGTCGGGGAAGGGAACGGTGAAATCCCTTACTACTCCAATGTTCGTTGGCTAAGTTGCGGACTGACTCTCAAACGTTTCTGGGATGTTTTAGACCACGTGAAAACTTTTCTGCGGCAGAAAAACAATTCATTCGATGAGCTCAGCGACGAAGATTGGCTGACGGACTTCGCTTTCTTCGTCGACTTTACATCACATCTGAATGCGCTCAACCTAAAATCACAAGGGAAGGGTCGTCTGATAAGCGAAATGTACGACTGTATTCGAGCTTTCACCGCGAAGCTGCGACTCTGGCAGGGTGCAATCAGCCGAGGGAGCTGCCCCCACCTCGCTGAAAGGGGAGATCATGGATTGTCTCGCTACGAATCCTTCGTACTCATTCTGAAGAGGTTGGAAACGGAGTTCGGAAAGCGATTCGAAGACTTCCGAATACTCGAAGACAGAATGCTCTTGTTTTCTTCTCTTTTTACCATGGATGTCGCAGCGGCGGCGGATAGCATTAAATTGGAGCTAATTGAGTTTCAGAACAATACCGATCTCCGGAACAAGTTTGCAACGGTAGAGCTCTCCCGTTTCTACCAGTCTTTGTCCCCAGTGAACTATCCGAGAATCCACGGGAATGCAATGAATATGCTGGCCGTCTTTGGGAGTACATATCTTTGTGAACAATACTTCTCACGGATGAAGAACATAAAATCTGCGACGAGGTCCCAGATGACACAGTCTCATCTAGTAGCAGCGTCGCGCATCGCCACGACCTCATTAGAATTGGAGACTTCAGAGGTGATGAAGGTCATGAGGCGTCAGACGTCCTCCACAGCCAAAGAATGACGGGAGAAATATCAATAGTTTTCTTAAGTTAAAGAGGGTTCGGTATGAAATTGCAAAAAAGCAAATAAACTGTAGGCATCTTGTTGTCCGATAGAGCCCCACAAACTGTGTTTTTTCCTCGATCGGAGGTGGAAATCCGATTTGGCCCGCGAACCGCCCCAGCATCCGAAAGTGGCCCGTCACGAATTTGAGTTTGACACCCCTGCTAGTACGTACAATACATAAGTCGCCAAGATAGGCCAACTTCCCAACCCGCCAGCCCCGCTGAACTCAGAATTCTTCCCGCTAAAAATGCGTTCATCAACGGAAACAAGTAGGGCTTGTGGCCAGCTGCTCCCTATTCCCTATCCCTATCCAGCCGAGGCTCACCGACAAATTAGCGTGCCAACCTCCGGGGAGGCGATGAGAGGGGCATGAAAGAGCGGGCGGAAGATTCCGTGAAAACAGCAGATCAGGGAACCGACAATCGGGGTACCGGTGTGGAAGGACGAGAATGACGGCTCTTCGCGGACTCCACTGCGGGAGAGAGAGTTTCTGACGGCAGGCGGCGCTGTCACCGCCACAAAGAACGACAAGAAAGTCGGGGACACGTTCTGAGCTCTGGCGGGTATGTGGTGTGAAATCTTGTGCATCCCGAACCTCGCGATCCTCACCAAGAGATCCATGACGCAGGAATTACCGGATTCGAATATTGGCACCCGGTGAGAGATTTTTCCGTATTTCCGCGTCGTAGCAGACTACTTCTGCGCGGTCGAATTGAGATGAATCAGTGATCAGTGCATCTTCGAGATCCCAAAGAAAAAGTCGATGAGACGACTGTCCCGTCTGTCACCCAAGAATAATTCCGAATATTTTGACCAATGATTCCTCCCCACGGGAGAGGCTGACGAATTCCCGCGCTGTTTACGCTTCGAGTACAGCTACCTAATGCCCGCGCGTCAGATGCAGAGCCCCGCGGATGAGTAGTGCCGCACACATCCATCTCCAGGAGGAACTCGCGTAGGCCGAGCCTTCCGGATCAGGCTTCAACCATTCCGACGCCATATTTGGATCTGTCATGGTATCTCTCGCTGGAATCACAGCAGCGGAACCTGCGTGGCCGCCCGTGCATCCTTTCCAATGCCGTCTTATGCCAAGGCCCCGCCTCTTGATCCTCGATTGAGGACCCTAATTATTCCCCAACAAGAATCATCGATCGGCCTCGGGGATCGATCCCTGGACCTCTCCGACGATGCTTGCGTCTCATTGACTGCGTCCGGCGCGCGCAGATCAGTCGAACAGCTAGCGGGTCGAACTGAACGGAGCACGGATTCCTTCGCTATAGTATCGGATTTCGGTGGTGCCGATCAGTTTCACGATGCTATGCGACTTCCTAGGCTCTGTTCTCCGCAAGGGCATATAATCCGCGATGGTCTCACAAATACATGTCGACCCAATGATTTGGAGACGCGAGGCGCATTCATAGACGATTGAGCCGGATCGTTTCGATGTGACGCTCATTTCTTGCTCTTTCTGCAGGTCACTCAGCTCGATGGGTCTATTCTAGAGAATTCGTCTGCGCTTCTGAGTCAAGATGTGCCTCGGGCTCCCCCAGAACCACCCGAGATAGGGTACTTGAATGAAAGTGGGATCTACCGGCCGGAGCTAAAGAATCACCCGAACAGGAAGATGAGTTCAACAATCGACGTCATCGTTCAATACGAAGAGAACCCTGACCTCGATCGGTTCGCGCGGCTCACGTCGTGCAGACTCGGAGATTTCGCGGACGTATTTCACAAGCTGCTCCGGGAAGTTGGTCCTTGCGGTACTCTGAAATACTTGGAATATCAGCTCGGCTTCCTAGATCAGCGTCGACTCAACTATCCGGCCGTGAGGGATGATCACAATGAGGAGCATGGACTCTTGCTGGCGATGGAATCAGCGAGAGCTAGTTTACTGGAATCGATCGACGCAGTGAAAGAAAACAAAATTGTGAATCCATACGCGGTCCTTAAGGAACGCAGTGATCGTGGAGCCGTGGACGTTCTGGAAATATCGGTGCCTTTGAAGACGGAACGCTTGTTAGATGTCCTTCTAGCCTGCAACAGAGGATTAGCAGAGCTTCGTTGCGTCATTTTCGCCCAGGAAAACAGCTCAGTCATTTCTATGAGTATGCTCTTGGCGACTTTATCACAGGAGCTGCCTGAGCGCTTTGGTTTCATTCGCGTAGGTTTTCTGGCGGATACACCGGGTGGAACGAGCGAATCCGAAGCCGGTCGAGGACAGGAACCGAACGATCGTAGCTACAGGAACGGGTTGTCCACCCTCCGAGATTTCCGGTACTGCCAGGCACATAGGATTCGATCAGTAGAGTCGCCGGTTGGGATCTAAACTTGGAAGTATTTTTTTGGATCCAGGCTGGGAGTCCTGAATATCTTGGTCGCTGCATGTGGTGCCGAGGAAGGTATCGATATGGGTGGGTGCAACCTCATCATACAGACGGACGGAATCTCGAAGCCTGAAACCTACATCCGGTTTCGCGAATCTGTGAGACTGGATCGTGCTCTGTATGTGCTCATGACGTCACAAGAGAACTTTGAAATGGTGAGTGGTCGCGGAAGCTCTGTCAGAATCACCATAAAAAGGAGGGCTGCATTGTCCCGGATGAGCTGAGTTCTCTGAGCGAATGTCTGTATCTGGGACGGCGCATGATCATCCTTCTCTCTCTGAGTACTCCCGATTGTCCTCGCTCTTTCCGCGTCGTTTCCCGTCGGCGAAGGACCAAAGCGATGACGCTCCATTTCTGCGAGGAAAACTCATGATTCCGTTCGATGCATCCCCGTCCCATTCTGACTCCTCTGATTCCAGCAGGTGGATGCACTGCAGGTTAAGAGGATCGGGAATATGGAGTCGCCGATCCCGGCGGAACCAGCAACTCAAGAGTTCGGAGCAGATCGAGGTCGCAGCTCGGCATCCCAGACTTCCGCGAAGTCGTCCGCGGAGGTCGGCGGGACGCAACAGAGACTGGACGATCAGGTAGCGGCTGCTCTCGAGGTTCGCGATCGTGTGTTCGGATTCGACGAGAGGAACAAACAGTCAGGCCCCGCAAGGAAGAAGTGCACTCCCTCAGGCCGCGAAGTGCCCGAAAACTTGGCGATGCTATTCGACGGTCAGCCAATAACACAGAATTCCAGCATCAGGTGCAAACGAGCAGTGTCCCATCAATTGAAGGATACCTGTCACCCGGAGTTCCCAGCGAGAGCTACTATCTACGTCTTCAGAACTTGTCTCGAAATTCCCCTGGAGGACGAGCATTCACATCATAGGACTTTCAAACCGGAGGAGGAGGAACTCTGTTTCGGGCTCCTCACCTTTTCTCCCGACTGTCCATCAAACGTTCCTGGGTTCCCCGTCTTCAGTCGCAACGGTCGCGAGTCCGTTGCTATCGAAACATTACGCGGCGTGGTCGAGACGCAAGAGCTCTGGAGGAGGCTGACCAAGTTCCACAGCTATATTTTCAAGAAAGTCTGCCGCCTCTCGCATCTCGAATACGATCCAGCTGTCGCACCTGTGATCGTTCCCGTCCGCAATGGGAGGGTCGATGTCGCCTTGCTCCGGAGATTGGATCTCGCGCAGAAGAAGCCCTTCACTCTCGAATCTGTGGTGAGCCGGGTGACCGCCGGTACCGAAATGAGCTTCTTCGTCCGGGAAATCTATCGCAGCGGAGGGAAAACGAAACTCTGCCTGGAGAAGATCCCGAGAAGCGCCGGCGGTTCTCGGAACGAGTTCACCGTTAAAACCAAATTCAAAGAATTCTCAAGCACAGAGGCCAGGCTTGCTTTCGCTCCGCGCCTGGAACATTGCGAGGTTGAATTCTTATCAGCCCCTCAATGGAGCAAAGCTTTGACGATCCCCATTTGCATTCATCGATTGGATCGACTACTGGTCGCCGAGAATTTCAGACGAGCCCTCGTGCGGGCGGGAGTCGGCTACGAAGTCGATCATTGGCCGCCATTGGTCGAGGACAGACCTCCGAATCAGGAAGTATCGAAGCCCGAGATCAAATTCACAGAACTCAAGTTCATGAAGGAAATGAAGAACTCGCCCGGGCCCTCGCCGACGGACATCCTCACAGCCCTCACTGCATCTTCCGCCCAAGATATCGTGGATTCAGAGCGTTATGAAGTTCTGGGGGACTCGTTCTTGAAAATGGTCGTTTCTCTGCATCTACTCACCAACAGAGACTTGAGAGATGAGGGTACGCTGACTGCGGAACGATGTCGTTTCGTCTCCAACATGTTCCTACTGTCGATAGCCGTACCCAGGGGAATTCACGAGGCTGTCGAGAGCCGGAAGTTCTCTGTCAAAGATTCATTTCGACCTCCTGGGACGATCCTGACCGCCGCCGTAAATGAGAAGCTTCATCAGCAGCGATACAGGAGTAAGATATGCGCAGATTCGGTCGAGGCTCTGATCGGAGTTTACTTGAACAGATCCGGGCCCATAGGCGCTCTCGACTTTCTCAAATATTTGGGTCTCGAGTTAGGTGATGGGCTCAGTAGGACTTTTTTCTCTCGCTTCGATCTCTCGTATGATCCAGATGAGGGCAAAGACCCGGACGTCACCCGGGCCGATCTCGATTTCCACTCCACTCATTTGGAGCGAGTGCAGGAAATTATCGCTTATAGGTTCGGAAACCCGCTCTATCTCCTTGAGGCAATCACCCATCAATCGTACCAGAACAATAGAACAACTCAAACCTATGCGAGGCTAGAGTTCCTGGGGGATGCTATCATTGACTTCTTGGTATCTTCTTTCATTTTCACCAACAACCCACATCTGAGTCCTGGACAAATGACCATGGTACGGTCGGCCCTCGTGAGCAACGATCAGCTCGGCCAGATCATGATGCGGACCAAGCTCGTGGAATACTTGCTCCATGACTCGCCTTCTCTCAACGAATACATGATTGAGAAAGACGAGAGTCACGCGAAAGAGCTCTGTCCGGACTCGCCGATGACGCAAGACGATCTAGGAGCCGCCGGACTCCTTGTCATTCCTAAAACGTTCGGAGATCTTATGGAAAGTATTATCGGTGCCATTTTTATAGATTCTGGTCTCGATTTCGCTGTTACGTGGGACGTTTTCCGGCGACTCATCTCAGATCCACTCCTAATCGATACTTTGAGGCAGCCTCCACAAAATCTGATCTCGACTCTCCAAGGAAAGTTTCCGGAGCGATGCCGATTCGAGAAGCCTGTCATTCGAGGAGACAATCTGGTAGAAGTGACTCTTCATGTCGATTGCCAGAGTTTCGGCGTTATTTCGACGAATCAAAAAAAGGCTAAACTCATATTGGCCAGTATGGCTCTGAAAGCCTTCTGCGAGGATGGTGGCATCGCTGAGTGCAGTTCCAACGGGAGTCTCCCTAGATTCTCCTCCTGATACCCATGCAGCGGGTAGACTTATGTCTATAAATTCTGAGAGAATCTTTTGAACTTTTAATAAAATCGAGACGCAGAATTCTGTACCTCCCGATTCAGCGAGAGCCTCTATCCGATATTCGAAATAAATCACGGATGAAGCAGATCATCACGGGAGATAGAATGTAGTATTCTGGCGGCGGGGTATAGCATGTTATCATCAGTTATAAGCGGGGTATGAGCTGCCATGTCTGAACTGACACGCGGATCGCCATCAGGTACGGCTGCCATCTTTTAATCGAGCCCCAGCGTTTGATTCCTAGAGTTCGCTTGGAACCGATTGGACTGTCCGACACATACCCCGTACAGGACGATGCGGAGAAATTTCGCCCGTGCATCGACAAACCAGGAACTTGTTCGATTAATGATTTCGAAGTTTTCTGCATGCTAAATGAAAAATTCCATATACAATTGCGCCGGCACATTCTGTGTATACGCCACCTGAATAGATATCATAACAGCGAGATCCATCATCTGACCCTTCTCAACATTCACAAAGCACAGGGAACATCCGAGAATTTGATCCGCGTTGATTAAATGCTGGTTTCGCGAACTGTCTGGTCCTGATCCGTCGCGAGGAAACGATATGTCTGTTGCCCGTCCAACTAGGTGAATTTGATATGAGCACTGACAGGCAAGGAATCCGTATCGCTCCACCGATCTACACCGTCGTCATCCTGATGGGCAAGGAGCTGTCCAGACGATCAATAACGACTCATGACGAGGGGACAATTGTCGAGCTGCGAGGAAAATACAGTCGCATGGCGGAACCACTCAACGTAACTCGCGAAGGTTTCGCGTCGACCAGCTCTGAGGTTATGAGAGCGAAGCGAATGCGGCGCCGATTCGGAGGCAGGACCCGAACTCTCAAGCAGCAGCTATGGGCGAGCAATGTCGGTATCAGGGGGGAATCTTCAGCATATGGCGAAATCCGTCGAGTCGAACGCGAATATTTTGTCGACTTCCATCGTCGGTATCCGATCCGGATTCGTGCAGCACTTCGGATAGTCATCCCGCAGCTCCAACTTGAGCTTCTCAGCAAGGAAGCCTCCCCGAGATGAGACGAAAATTGACACAGATATTTCCGCCTGAGCTCTGTTCCTGACAAGTATGTCTTCCAGCAGCAGATACGCAACTTCCGAATAGTCCGCGTATAGCGGTCCGATGAAAGCTCCTCCGTCCCTTTTGCTGCTTGCTATGCGCACGAAGCCCACGATCGAACCTTCCATGGAACAAACCACAGTAGAGCCGTCGTCATCGTCGATTAGAGTTGTGCCTATCGGGCGCTCGAAGCCATGGAGTCGCGCATCGTATTCGATCAGCCTCCGTACGAGCTCGGGTTTATTAGAATCGACAACCTCGAATCTGAAAGCAGATTTTATGTTATCGCTTGGCAGCGTGGCAGCCCTGCCACCGTAGACGTACGCCGTTCCATTGTCCACAATTTCGAAACCGAGTTTTCGGTACATCTGAATACACTCAGGCACAGCGAAGAGAGCGAATGTTCCCTCGGGGCATCTCTCGAAGAGACGATTGATGATTTGCCTGCAGAGACCTTTGCCTCGATGCGATTCCCTAACACCAATCGAGCCGATGAAGAAGAGCTCGGACGTCTGCTTGACAGCAGCACCGGTCGCGATCAACGTGTCGCCGAGGAAGATACCGAAAAAACCCTCTGGATCCACTAGATGCCACCGTCGCATATGATTTCGTGCCATGTCGAAACCGAGTTCTTCCGTCCAGAAATGCTCGGAAGCGATCAAGTCCTGGTCAGTCAAGTTGCGTAACTGCAGTTGTTGTCCTTCTTGCCCGGATTCCATGGTTGAGCAGATAAATTAGTTCAATAAAATGAAGCGGCACTGACTGAGAGTGCAGCCTCGGCAATGCACGCCTACCCTCTCTCAAAATTCAAACACCGGCGAGGAGGGGAAGTCATGGTAGCCCTCACAATTCCGAGTTCACAGCCGATCGAGCCGTTTGATGTTACTATGACGACCCACACAAGCACGGGAATACTCGTCGAAGTGTTGCGTCGGGGCGTCTCGCGGTGTACGAGATGTTTCTCAGAACTTTTTTCTTAGGGGTATCTGCCCCGGAAACCCTCGTATATGTCTAGTAATTTTTCTCGAACTAGGTTCAGAACCCAAGAGTCTCGCCCTATCAAGGCGGAGCCCTCAGAGCCCGAACAATCAAATTTCTCCTCAATAATCTCTGGATTCGTCTCAGGAATCTCTCTGGAGCATCTCGGAAATTCCACCGCAGACCTGCGGTATCGCGTGGACGCTCCGGAGAACCCGCCTCGAATGCAACCGCTCTATCAATGCCTCCCGTCTCGTCCCCGCCAGAAACGGTCGGGAAGCTGTCATGATATCATGTCTCCATCCACCATTCTGGGCAACATTATGGAAACGTCGGGAGAGAATGAATGAATCCCTCGAGTTCGGGGTCCCGGGAGCTTTCAGTTCAATGATCATGGTTCGCTGACTCCATGCTGATCTTCAGTCTCTCCCGTCAGGTCTGGTCGGGGGAGAAGTCGGGTGCGCGTACGCGCGCGGTGGAGATCATGCGCGACAGAAGATGAAAACATCGAAACGGCCGGATATTCGTGAGATCGGCATCGACCATCTGTTTCAGCCGGATTCTCCTGTATGTTGAATTATTCCTCACCGTTGAATACATCCCGGAATGTCATAATTCTGCCAATCTTCGCGGAAAGGGTTGACAGCCGGAGTAGCTAGCCCAATGTAGAGCTGTCATTTGCGATGGATTCCTTGGTCCGCGATGATCGAGTCCCCATCATCAATTCGGACGCCTCATCCTTGGCCCGGAGAAACGCCCGTGTTAGCCGGTTCCTTCTCGGCTGGATAATGTTTTCACGGCATGAAACTTCGAAATCCCTCTTGAATCTTCCCTGAAGCCCAATCCCTATGATCAAACGATCAAGAAACCATTGCTAGGCAGTAATCTCCGTCGGGGGAGCCGCTCACCCGTCCTGACGTATCCCTCATGAGGCAGAACGGAACAATGTCGGACTCGGCAACCAAGGAATCTCTTCTCGCTCTGGCAGCATTTCTGTGAGACCCCTCCTAAGGTCTGCCCTCAGGATATCAATATCGGCATACTCAGGTCTCGCCTCCATATCTAGAGCATTACGTTCCTCGAGGGATGTCCCGAGGGGTTCTTTTCCCGGCCCAGAGAGTCTTGCGTCCCGTCTGCAGGGTGCTTGCCTTCGGGAATGGCCGTAATTCATCAGCGTTATGCCACTCGAGAAACAGAGAGGTACAGTATAGCTTCGTCCCGATGAAGACGCTGGCTGAAGCGGAAATGGGTCTCAGGAAGGGAGTTGCTTGTGGCGGAATACCTCGCGTATGAGGTCTACGGAAAAGTGACGAAAATATCAGGAATCGTTCATTATAGCGGGAATTGTTTGTGAGAAAGTTGCATTGTATTGCTCTCGCCTTGACCTGATAGCCTTGCATCGATCGCTGAGGGAGTTGTATGTATACAGATACGGAATCAAACCCACGGGGCGGGAGCTGACAAACTCTGCATTCAGACAGAGGCTCGAATCGCTCTGAAAAGCTCTTCATGTGAGCGAGCATCGGGGATCGAAAGTTTCAGGTCGTGAGGAATACCGAATTTTTCTTATGACCACTCCTGAACCGCTCATTCCATTCATAATAACTCCGCTCACAGGGGAGCGTTCTCCGCTATCGACGCTCAAGGATTTACACGAGGCGAAATTCGAATGGTTCGATGCTCAAAGTAAGAATGGACCGAAGATCCGATAAAGCCTGACCATCATCATTGAGTGCCAACAAAATAACCCTGTTGCCTTCCGTGGTCAATTAAGTCCATCCGACCGCGACCCAATTCTCTTCGGGCATTTCTCTTCGATTTCTTCGGTTGTGCTAGCTGTCAGCCATAGTACCATATGCACGGGAGCTCAAGCTCTAGGCTTGGGATCCATTCGCATGAAAGAATCCGCAGATCGACGATGCCCGGAGCTATTGTACGATCCCTTTAAACTCGAAGCCGTCAAAAACGAATTCGTCAGGTTGAAGCAATGTATACAGTAGCGCTTAGTATCGTCACAATCAGGTCACGGGACCTCCCTCATAAGAGTCTGATGCGGGGATACAGCTCGATTACTTCTTTTCGACATCGACCACCATTCGAGAGCGGTCGATCTCGGAGTGTAGCGATCCGGCATTGAATTGTGGATTCGATTGACCTGCGGCTGCCTCCTGGAATGCCGACATCGAATTACACGCGCTCACTCCCTGAGTTCGACGCGTTTCCGGACCAAAAGATGATGACTGCCAATGATTCCACTGTTCAAATTCCACACTGTGATATTTGAAGACAATAACCCCTCGCCCTCGAGGCGATCTCTAAATCAGCGTCGATGGTCACGCCACAATAAATCATGAGTTGGGATGGAGATTTTTCGCGGAAAGAAAGGGCTAAACTCGCGGACAGCGCAAAATTCGATCGGAAGTCGCGGGAGTCGCCGAATTTCATTGAGATTCGCGGAAGGTAGGTGTGCCTCCGATTAATCTCGAGCGTTGCTTTTTCGAGTCCGTCCGGGAAAGGTCTGTGATTATCGGAAATTGAAGCTTATTCGACTCCGGCTGCTTTGGAGTCCAGGGAACAGTCAAGTTGTTGTCTTCACTGCCCTTTCTCGGTGGAAAGCAAATGAATGATCACATTCCTGTCTTTGGAAGGGACCGAATTCGCGAAAAACGCCAGAGAGAGACGAAAACCGCGGTTTCCGCGATCTCCGCGAAAAATCATACAGTCAGTCAGCAGTCAGAGTACGCTATCAACGTGTTCCCTGTGCTCCCGGACTTTCTCTTTCTCCTTCACTCGATGAACCTCGGCGCGAGCTCGATCTACATACTTCCCCACCGGGGATTTCATTACTACAAAACTTGGCGAATCTTCGTGTGTAGCTCAAGAACAAGCCTCGGTATGAAGATTGAGGCGCTTTGAATGAATGGAGGCGAGCGAGAAGTCCCTCCATTGAGACTGATGATGTGCTCTCATCCAATCATGAGAAGAGCTTTCGCTTGGGATTAGCTACTACCCAGAGAGGACTGATATATTCGGTTGATTTCGCTTGTTTTACGCCTCTCGCCACGCCACATTGGAAAAGCCCAGGTGAACGTGTAGCGCTGTCGGTTCGCGTAGTGACCGGAACTGATGCTCTTCGACGACTCGGTATGGCTATTGACCATCGAATCGCCGACTATGGCCTCCTTCCGCGCTCGAATGAGAAGTTTCAGGCGAACGGGAACACATTTCCCAGGACATGCCACGCTTTTGCCTCGAACAGTGCTAGACGATGTCCTCGCTGCCGTCACCCTCCGCATCGAGTACGCTGTAGAAAGTACAGAATGGCACGACCTGCTAGATAGAATCTCATCGCTCTGACAGTCCTGTCACCGTCTATTGCTCCGAGTTTCATTCTGCACTGAACAATCCCCGTTGATGAATGGCAAACACAACTAGTACGAAGCATCTCAGAAGTGCTTCATGTCATCCCACGCCACTCCATGATTCCTTACCGCAAGCCTGATATCTATGATATCCCTCTCCCTCTCAATTATCATGAGGAAAAGAAAATTCCTCTTCATAAGTGATCACGAATAATTTATTACTGGTCATTACCGGATCACCTTCCAAATGGCATGATCCGGAAACCCCGTGAAATTGTTTGCAGAACTCTATGCGAGCGGAAAGAAATCTTCAGAAGCATTCTCGAGGGGAGAAATTCAATTCGCATGAGTTCACGACGCTCATAGATAAGCTCCCGTGATTTTCGTATACGCGGGTTGTTTATTGACATGACGGCTTATTGCAAAAAAGTCTCACTCCAAGACTTTCCCAAGATTCCAAGAACTGTTTCCAGCTGCAGACGAATCCACGCGCTTAGTCATGCCGTACGTATGCAGAATGGCGCAGTCGCAGCGAGGATCAACTTTTGCCCAAACATTCTCACACGACTTCAAATTCCTGATGACGCAACGTTATTCCGATTATGCCGTGTCCAAGCAGAGAAGATTCTTTTTCACGGTTTCTGCTTAGTGAGTAAGATACGTAGCGAATTCCATTCGAATGGCTTCTTCCCTTGTCTCGCGGGATGCTTCGGCGATGCGTCATGAGTTATCTAACTATCTAGAAAGTGACGCTTTGATGGGAACCATCATGTATACCTTTGTATAACTCCCTTGATCAAGTTCGAATCATGCGGGAGCGTGAAGGCGACTCGATACCTTGCGGAGAAGCTCCCCACCGATGGTTGTAAACGAGAAGACCTCGTCATACTTCCACTCGCTCCTCTCTATCTCTTCACGATACGTTATCGAGATTGTCGAGAAAGATATGAGTCGAATGATAAACGCCCGAATCAAGCAGAATACCGCCTTTTAAAAACTCGGAGATGTTCGATGACTTCGTAATGACGGGGGCTTCCTCATTGAAATGGATACGGATCTCTCGTCTGATGTCCTTTCACAGGACCCCTCAAGGAAGCCCAACAAGGGCATTCGAGCCATTGTCCTTTCGTGATTTTGGCATATCGAAAGGAACGAATGAGTCAATGGAGTCTAGAACGATTCTAGCCTGCATTGTGGTACATAGGACAGACTTCTTGGAATCCAGGAGAATCGAGAGAACGAGAAGCAATCCAAGTATTCCCTGATGGAGTAGGAACCGACCGACATATAATGCGCTCCGAGTCTGCCTCGAGCGCATTCCCCAAGGAAGAGGGCCTCCACGACCCGCGTTGGAGAATCTTTACAGTGTAGATTCTTCT